TTTTAACTTACTATAAATATAAAAAATTTATATTAAGTATTACGCAGCTGGAGGCAGCCCGCGAAAATATTTTTTTAGTAAAAAATATAATTATCTTAAGCCTATTAAGAATAATTATTATAAAATTAAAAAGATTATTATTTATTAAGTTATTTATATTAATAAGAATCAGACTCTATATATATAATATTTTATTATTTAGTAAGATTATTTAATTAAAAAAAGATAGTAGATTCAAGAAGATAATATTAATATACTAAAATTAATTATTAAATATAAGATATTACTTTAATTATTTATATAAAATCCTACTTAAGGTTATGCTTTATTTATTTATTTATTTTATTTATATAGTATACATCACTTAGCTCTCTACTCTTTTTATAAACTTATCTTGCTAAATCTATTATTATTTTATATTTTTATTATAATATAATTTCTTTATTATAGTAAAACCTTAGTTTTATTATTATTTGTTCCTGTTATTCTTTTATTAGACTGTTATTTATTTATTTTATTATTTACTAAATATTCTAGTTATTAATTATTTAATTATTTTACTATTTATTTATTCTCTTTAAGCTTTACTTTAATATTATTATTTTAATCTTTTTATTATTTTATTTATTAATAAATCTTTTATTTTATTACTAAGCCTCTCTGTGGATTATTTCTCTACTAATTATTTAATTATTATAATTAATGTTTTTACTCCTATAGTTACTAAGAACCTTACTAAGATTAAATATATTTATAATTATTTTAAGATTTAAGTTATATTACTTTAGTATAATCTTATTTATTTTTATAAAGCTTATTATTAAGATTAGGAATATATATATTACCTATAGAATAACTTAGGATATAGCCTTTATTTAATAACTTATTATTATAAGATCACAGTGATCTTTAAATAATATATTTGTTATTTATACCAGGCTAACACCCGCCTTTGTTTAGTAACTAAGAATTTTATTAAAGAAATATATTATATTAAAGAGCAGATTACTAAAATTATTAATAACTACACTACTAGATACTATAAATAAATAATATATTATTATTTTTATTATTTTATTTATTTTTCTCACTCTGATAATAATATTACTATTATTAGTGATTATAATTGCTCTTGTTTTGATACTTATAATATTAATAATTATAATAATCCTGTGGTGTATAATATTACTAAGGAAGAGTTTATTACCTTTATTAATAATCTGATTATTAATAATGATAATTTTGCTTAATATCTCTTTTCTTGATAGTGTTTTATTAGTATTATTTTAGTATATTCTATTCCCCGCTTAATATATTTTTTTCTTAATATATTTAACTTACTCCGTGGGTGTTTGCTTTGTTTCTCTATTATATGTTGCTGTACTAGTTATATTAATGGTTTGTTTGTCTTCCTGTATTAACTAACATGGTTATTTTGTACTACTGTTGTTCCGCCTCTTCAGCACTCGGCCTCATTGATTTCAAGAAGGATCATCAACCTTAGCATACTAATGAATAATCATCTTGACAAGTCCATTTCGCGCGTTTGACGCTGCAAATTTTTAACAAAACCACTTATTATTTATTTGATAAAATTATTAAATACTTATTTAATTTTATTAATTAATCCTCTGCTGAACTATCTAAGACTATTTTTAAATTAATTAACTTTATTAAAGTTAGTTTTATAGTTAAATCTGCTGAGAAACCCGCAGGTTATTAAACTAAAGAAAATAAACTTAATAATATTAATTTATTTTATCTTTATTTAAAGTAATCTTTATTAATCGCCTTTATCTTATTAATATTATTTATATTATTTAAAAACTTTTATAACACTAATACTCCTCCGCGTGTTAAGCTATACTATTAAATACTTTATAAAATAGCAGATTTAAGTTATACCAAAGATAATACTAATATATAAAAGATCTAAGTATTATTAAAGGCCTTACTTTAGGGTTAGTACACCTTATAAAAGGACTTATATAATACTAAGACTTATGTCAAGGTGCAGGCTGGCGGGTTGGTAGAGTTGGTACAGCAGGGGCGGGCAGGGCAGGCGGTCTGGCTGGGTCAGGCGGGCTAGGTTTGTAAGGTCTTTGATTATTATTATGGTCAGGCTATATATAGGATAATAAATAAGATATAGCTCAGAGAGCTATAATAGAATCTCTGGTATTTAGATTTTTAAATAGTTAGAGGATTAGGATTAAGGATAAGTTTTTCTAGTTTAGTAATTTTATTTAGTTCTAGCAGGTTTAGTAATGCTTTTAGGTCTATATTATAATAATATACTTTTTTTTTATAACTGAGTTTTATTAAGGCTGAAGAGGGCCAGGCTTATTAAAATATTAAAAATAATAATTTTAAATAATTTATTTAATGTACTTTAGGTAACTAGTAAGCTTAATAATAAAATTTATATATTTAATCTATTTTATAATATATATCAGGCGAGGGCGGCCACAGCTGTGGTAATTCTAGAATAAGTTAAAAATATTTTTAATTTTTTATTTTTTAAGTTTATTAATTTTAATATAGAATAAGGGAGGATTTTACTAGTTAGATAAAATATTTAAGCTAGTAGAGATAAATAGGCTTATATTAAATATAGGATAAATTTTTATATTAGGTGGGAGTTTCAAATAATAGATATATAAATTAATAATTTTTTTAATATAATATAAGTTTAAAATATTTTAATTTAATTTTTTATTAGACTGTAAGGTTTTAATATATTAAATATTTAATTAAATTAATTAGTTTTTTTTAAATAAGTAGACAGGATAGTACTAGTAGTTTATTTATTTAATATAATAGGTTTAAATAAATAATATCTTAGCTTAGATAAACTTAATAATAACTTATATTTTTATAATAAATTATTTTTATATCTTATATAGCAGAACAGTTATATATATAATAGTTTTTTATTAAAATAAGTTTAAATTTTATATATAAATAAAAGTTATAATTAGCAAAAAATAGGCTAGTCTTAATTAAGTTAAAATATATAATATTTAGAGAAAATTTAGCTAAAAAGAATTAAGTACTCTAGTTATTTTATAAATAATTTATATAAGCTTAGAGATATTACTCTAATATAATATTTATTTATTTAGTCTGGTTATTAGTCTCAGGATAATATATAATTAATAATTTATTTATAATATCCAGGCATTAGGTTAGATATTTTTAAAATTTAGTAATAAATTAAAGTCTTTAATCTAATATAACTATTTAAGGTAGGCTATACAGCTTCTATACGTGCTATATATATATTATAGTTATAACAGATATATTAGTAGTTAAGTTATAAAAAATTAAGTACTTTATTTTAGTTAAATAATTTATAATAATTAAAATAATATTATAACTCTGGCTCTTAAATAAGTATGTGATAAAATCTATAAAAATATTTTATTAGATATATTTAAGTATAGGCAGGGATTTTAGAATACCTTATTTAATTTTACAGAATAAAATATTTTAGTAATAAGTATAATAATTCTAGATTTATTAGACTATATATTAGTATATATTAAACTAAAAATATTTATAAATAAAAAATTTATATATATAGTTTTTCTTAGGATATTCTAATACGGGCTTATTATATATTAAATAAATTAACTTAACTTAAAGTTTATTATTCTTAGGGATTTATAAGTAGTTTTTATAAAATAAAAAGTTATTTTATTTTTTATAAATAATTAAAATAATTTTTAAATAATAATTTTTTTTATAGTAAGGGCCTTTTAGATTTCGCAGATTAGATTATTTTTTTTATATATTTCTCTCAGGTTTATCTGGATTTTAGACAGTAGCTATAGGTCTTATTTATTTTTAAAAGTAATATTTTAATAGATTTAGATTATAAGAGTAAGTAGGGTTAGGGGTTTAAGGATTTTTATTAGATTAAATTTAGATTTACTAATATTAAGATTTTTATGTTTTAGTATTATTTAATTTTAGTATTATAAGTACTTATCTTTTTTTTTAAGGAAATCCTCTGATCTCCTAATTAGGTTATTTAATTTAATTTTATATTTTTTAAGGCGGTATATAATCTTAAACTTAAATTAAAATAAAAATTTAAATTAATAAGTTTATTATTAGTTTAGGAGCTTAGTTAATATAAAATACTTTAGATTATAATAATTAAAAATAATTTATATTAAAGATAAGGCTTCTTTAAGTTCAGGATATTACTTTTTAAAATATTAAATAATAATAAGTAATTTCTTATTATAAATCTTATAATTATATTTTATAAGCGAGTATTTTTTTAAGAAAAAAATAATAAAATATAAAATTTTATTATTATTATACTAAAATAAAACTCTAGTAGAAATATAATTAAAAGTATTAATCTTTAAAATCATAATATATATTTAGTTAAAGAGCTATAAGACCGGGATATTAATAAAAATTTTTTTAAAATAATTAAAGGCCTCCTAACAGGATAAGATTTATTTTTAGAGTATTTTCTTACAAGTTAGGCTGATAAGTAAGATAATTAACTTTAAAAAATTTTAAATAAAATAATAATAAAAATTATTAAATCTTAGGAATACTTAAATATTTATAATATAGATTAAAATAAATTAATTAATAATTATCTTAATTTTAGGAAAATTTATCCAGATTTCTTTATAATTAATAATCAGATCTAGAAACTTAGTTTTAGAAATAATAAACTTATATTTTAAGAATTTTATAAATAAACAGGTTTTTTGCAGCTTTTATAAGACCTGGTAAATATAACAGATATATTTAAAATAAATTTAGCTATAAATTAGGATATTATTTAGATAAATAGTATAAAAAATATTTAAATAATTATATAAAATATTATTAATATAATACTAAAATATCCCAGGGGCTCTGGTTAAGCTAAATAATATTATTAAAAATTTAAATAAGCTTAGGCAGGTATAAAATATAATTATTTATTTTTAATTTTTTTAAATATATAAATTATTAAAAATATTTATAATATTAATTTTTATAAAATAATATATTTTTTTTAAATTATTTAGGGTCTTTTTTACCAGGGATAGTAGATAATAATCTTTAATTATAATTGTGTTTAGGGCTTGGTAGTTAATATAAAAATATAAGCTTTTATTAGGCTTATTAATAAATAAAATAGAAAATATTATAAAGAATAAACTTAAATAAATAAAAATTTTTTATAAATTCTTAAATAATTATTCCCGGAGGGCCTTTAGCTTTTTCTAGAATATATTATATAAGGAACTAAACAGTAGTCTCTTACTAGATTCTAAAGTAATTATATAATTATAATTTTTATACAGGAGTAACTTATTTATTTTTTTTAATAAAAATATATTATTAAAATCTTAGAATTTTATAAGAATATTAGAACTCTAATTAAAATTAGGTATTTTTTATACTAGAGATTTCTTAAGGGACCTTGCATAGATTACTTAGTTAATTTATTTTATGATAATAATAAAGATTCTTTTTTCTTATCTTATATATATGGCACAAGCTCTTATAAATATCATACAAATATCGCGGGTCTAGAGGACCTTTAGTATTTTTAAGTTAATTAAACAGGCTTAAATAAAAATATTATATAAGGCCCGGATTTTCTGGGGACAGAATAAAATATTATAATATTTTTAATAATATTAACTATTAAACTAAAGGGTATATTTAGTAAAGTTTATTTTAGAATTATAAATTTTAAGCTAGGAAAATCTAATTATAATAAAAAAGTATATAAATTAAATAATTAGAAATAAAATATTTTTTTTAATATAGTTATAGGTCTTTAGGATTATATAAATATAATAAATAATAATACTAATCTTACTCTCGCGGTTATTAAATCTTATAATTAATTTAAGTTTCTTTAAAAAATATAAGATCAGATTTTAGGTTTTAGTTTAATTTTTATTTATAACACGGGATATAAAATAGCTAATATTAAATATAATGTAAGTAGTAATCTTACTCTTACTAGGGTTTAATATAATAAAAATAATTAATAAATTAATTTTTTAAAATTTTTTTTAATAAAAAGTCCTTTAGTAATAACTTTAGAAATTTAGTAAACTTATATAAGAAAATCCGCCTGGTTACGGCTTAGGCTAGGCTGATCTTTTTTAATTACTTATTTAAGTTTAGAAAATATAAGTATTTTATTTAAAAATTTATTTAAGGCTAAAGAGCCTAAAGTAGTAGTAATATAAGTAAGTTTTGCGGGATAAGATAAGGCTGGGGTATAAGGAAAGACTATTTTTAAAAGGATAAATAAGACTTTAAGAAAAAAATAAAATATATAATATAATTAATCTAGTATAGGCGACTATTTAGTTCAGGATAATCTTTAATTATACATTAATTTAATCTGTAGTAAAAATATTTATTATAATTTTTATAAGTATTATTCTTAAGATAGGAGGATAGACAGCGAGTTAAAAAAAGATTTATAATATTAGGATTTAGGATAATAATAATAGGCTAAAGAGATTTATTAATTAGACTTCAGGAATTATAACTTCAGATATTTTTAATTAAAATTTATAAGTAAATATTAATTCTAGTTAAAATCAGGACAGACTTCCAGGATTAGTTATAAAAATATTAAATATAATAATTTTTTAATTTTTGTAAAAAGATAGTAAGATTAATATAATTTCTAGTAAGTAGGTTTTAATATATTAATATAATCTTTATTTTCTAATTAATAAACTTTCTTAAGAAAGGTAAAAAAACTAGTTTTAATTATTTTTTTTTTATAACTAGTTGTTAGAATTTAGTAAAAAAAACAGAAAATTCTTAGTTCTTTTATTTTAGATTATATAAGATATTCCAGATATTATAAATACAGTTTAGGTTTTTATAAGTATAATTAAGTATTTTTAGGATTTTAGTATAATTTTTTAACTAGTAAATTTTATTTCTAATATACAGAAGAACTTAAGTATAAAAAAGTTTTTTTAAATAATTAAAAATATAAATTATACAGGCCTAAGGGATTAAAAAATAATTATAATTTATAATTATTTTTTCTTAATTTAAAAAATAAAATAATAAAGATCTAATCTAATATTTTTAAACTTGTTAGGGTCAGATAGTTATTTAAAAAAATAAACAGAGGCAGAAAATCTAGAATTAATTAATATAAATATTTTTATTAAAGTAATTAGAGATTTTTTAATAATAGATTTAAAGATTTAGTCTAGGATACTAACTATAAGTATAATAATCTAGATTATATAGTTTTATTTTTAAATTATTATACTCTTATTAGTTAGGGTCTGGACAAGTTTAAAATTTAAACTTTTTTTATAATTTATTTAGAAGATAGTAATTTATATAGTAATATTTATATTTTATTAAAAACAGAAAATTTCCTGGCAGAGATATTTTTAGTTAGTATTAATATTTATTATAAATATATAAATCTAATTATAATAAGTATATTATTTCTTAATATATTTAATAATATACTAGGCAAATAGTCTAAGATCCTTAAAAAAAATAAAAGCTTCAGAATTTCAGGTATATTAGGCAAATACTAGCTTTATAAATAAGAGTTATATAATATTAAGGTATAGGCTAGCAGGTTAATAAAATTAATATAACAGGGGCGGACAAAATAAATAATTTAGCTAGATTAGGTAGGCTAGATTTATAAGATTTTTGATTATTACTATAATCAGGTTATATATAAAATAATAGACAAGATGTAGCTCAGAGAGCTATAATAGAATTTCTAGTATTTAAGCTTTTAAGTAGTCAGGGGATTAGGATTAGGGATAGGTTCTTCCGGCTTGGCGGTTCCGTCTGGTTCTGGCAGGCTTGGCGGTACCCTCAGGTCTGCACCGTGACAACTTATCTATAATAAATAAAAGCTATTACCTAATAGACTATCTAACCTAGCTAAATTAGCCCTTAAGGCCCTAAAAGTTTTATTAATTTATTTAGACTGCCTGGCAGAGGCTTATCTATTTTAAAAAATAATAAAATAAGTATTTTTTAGCCTAATATAAATAATATATAAATAAAAGCTGGCTAGATTATCTATTAAAATATTTTAATCTTTATTAATTAATTTAATAATATTATTAATTATAAAAGTATTAAATTAATTCGTGTAAATATTTAAGCATATTTGTATTAGCCTCCTACTGGATCATAGAATTATGATGATTGAATTGATTGTCCGTTCAAAACAACTAAGTCCTCTGCCTTACGGAGGCGGGAGCTACAGAACACTATTAACACTTATAGTATAGGATTATAGGATACTATTAAGACCACAGGCGCAAAATATATAATAAAGAACAATATAATATCCTTATTAAATAAAATAAATCTTCCTAAATAAAATTAGTTTATTATAACAAGCAAAGAAGTCAAGTCCCCAGTATAATATTAAAAAAAAATATATAAAGAAAATATTTTTATTAACTTTCAGAAAGTAATTTGACCCAAGAAAAATAAAAAAAATAATTAAATTAAATTAATCCAGGTAAAGAAAAAAAAATAAACTAAGATAATAAAAGAAAATAAACTAAGATAAAAAAAATAAAAAAAGACTTAAAAAAAATATAAACCTAATAATTATTATTACTTATTTATCTTTATTTTATATAATCTTTTTTAATACTTTATTAGGATTATAATATTCAGGGTTATAGTATTTAATCTTATAAATAATAATAGTTCTAATAAAATTATAATAAATCCAAATAAAGTTATAGTAGATTTAGTAATATTTATTACTATAAAAAAATTAATTTATTTATTTATATATTATTATCCTTATAATAACATATATTAATAGTAATAATAGTAGCTTTATTTTTTTCCTTTAGAGCCTTAATTTAAATAATAACAGCTAAGTTTTCCACGGACAGAATAATAATATATTCTATTAAAATAATCTAATTTTCATATAAAAGTTTAATCTTTCTAATAGCTTTATCTTTTACCTTAGCTAATATATTAATTTATTTAATATATTTTATATCATTAATATTTACAAAATTATTTATCATAAAAAAATATTATTCAGTTTATTTTTTTCTTTTAAAAGATTATTATTCTTTTTAATAAAATTAATATTTTTTTTAATAAAATTATTTTTACTTTTAATTAGAATAGTAATATCCTTTCTAAATACTTTATTAATTATTAATATTATAAATAAATCTTCTTAAAGGGCTATAATCTTCTTTATTATTTTATTATAATCTCTTTTATAATCCTTAAAATTTTTAGTATTTATAAATACCTTAGTATTTATAACTAAATAATAATAAATAATATTTTATAATACTTCAGTATTCGCGATAGTATAATTATATATATTAATAAAATGATAAATAAAATCCTATATAGCTTTATTTACTTTATTATAAATTATAATAAGTTAAATAATTATATCTTAATTCTCTCACAGGCTTAAGTAATTACTAAAAGATATAAAAACAGGTATAAATATATAAAAGGCTGTGTTAAGCTTCTTTTATAGATTTTATTTTATATAATAAGGTCTTAAAAATATAAATATAAAAATATATTAATAATAATAGTCGCCTGTATATAAGAGGAGAATTTAAATATAATTACTTTTAATTTATTAAATATCTTAAATAGTGATATATCCTTAAACTCTTAATATAAATCTTAAATATTATTTAATATTTTTTTAACCTTTAAGAATAATATTTTTATTTAAATACTTTAAATACTAATAATCATAGTAATATTAGACAGAGTAAAAATAATAATATCTGCTAAAGTATATTTATTAAATAATAAATCAGGAATAATAATAAATAATTACTTAATATTTTTATTATATTCTAAAGTAATAATTAAGTTAGCTTAACTATTATTAATTTAGGCGGCTTAAGTATTATTAACTTAAATATTATTAACTTAGATATTATTATTAGAGTCTTTAATAATTTTTGCTAATTTAGTTTTTTTTACAGACTAAGTGTTATCTAAAGTTATATACTATTTATTTTTTAATTTAGAGATTAGCTCTCCCTCCTTTTTTATAGTGCTATTCTTAATCAAATAGATTGTTATAATAATAAATAAATATAAATAATCTAGAATAATATAAACCAGCTTCTTTTTTTTAAATTGCAGGCATGTACCCCAGATATATAAATAAGAAATATTAAAATTTAGA